TTTCTCAGGTCATATCCTCTCTAACCACTTCGCTGAGATTCGATGGAGCCATCAATGTTGATATCACTGAGTTCCAAACAAACCTTGTGCCATATCCAAGAATTCACTTCATGCTCTCTTCATATGCACCTGTGATCTCTGCAGAGAAAGCTTATCATGAACAGCTTTCTGTGCCTGAGATCACGAGCGCTGTGTTTGAGCCAGCGAGCATGATGGCTAAGTGTGATCCAAGGCATGGGAAGTATATGGCTTGTTGTTTGATGTATCGCGGAGATGTTGTGCCCAAGGATGTTAATGCTGCTGTTGCAACTATTAAGACCAAGAGAACTATTCAGTTTGTTGACTGGTAAGTTTCGTACGCCTTATTTCATTTTGTGAAAATTTGGTTAATGTGGGTATTGACATTTGCCTCAGCAATTCGGAAGGTCGGATATAGTCAATATGCAAGTGTAATATGCTTACCCCTATAAGTAACTGCTGCATGTAATCGAAAATATCATGCAACTGAAACAGCCCATTCAAACTTACAAAAGATCATCCAATCTGGTTCGCAACCTACATACCTTCAAGTATGACGACACAGTAACAACTGAGCCTTTATACACAAATCTTCTGTTTCAGCCTTATTCTCCAATTCAGTTATATTAAGGGTATATCCTCTATTAAGTTAAATGTCGTCTTATCCTTTCCAACTGCTGCCAAAAGGGTTCTTAACGTCCTAATAAATTACTCTTGCTTGCCTAGTATTACACCAGGATAATATTGATGCGATGCATCGCAATGACGAAGTCCCAAAGTCATTTCATTGAGATTTCCTTAGGTCTATGCTGGTCGTCCTCTTCATTTATCCTGGTTGGGGAGCAGACAATGGAAGGATAAGCATTAAAGCACGACATTGACTAACCCTGATTTTGAAGAGACGATGAAAAGATAAATATTAAAATACAACATTTACAGAGTTAACCTAAAGTATGACTATTAAACTTCCATCTGACTCAAATAATACTTTTGAAGGTGTCCTACTGGATTCAAGTGCGGAATCAACTACCAACCACCAGCAGTCGTACCCGGCGGCGACCTAGCCAAGGTGCAGCGGGCAGTTTGTATGATCAGCAACAACACTGCAGTCGCTGAGGTTTTCTCACGCATCGACCACAAGTTCGACCTCATGTACGCCAAACGCGCGTTTGTTCACTGGTACGTTGGTGAAGGGATGGAGGAAGGGGAGTTCTCAGAAGCACGAGAGGATCTTGCAGCTCTCGAGAAGGATTATGAGGAGGTGGGGGCCGAGGGAGGAGAGGATGATTTGGATGATGGAGAAGATTATTGAACAAATCGGTTAGCAAGATTCTAGTTAAAATGTTCTTGTTGAGCTTTGTGATGGTTGTACATCATATACTCTGCGTATGGCTTGTTGTATTTCTTGCACGTGTACTATCTCATTGTATGTTTGTTGGAAATTAAGATGACTTTATATTCGGGAGTTAATTGAAATAATATATTGCTTTGCTGGCTATATTATCTGTTTATTAATGATTTAAGCGTAGGTTAAGTTGGTTGCTGATAGAGCCTGGAGTATTACCAGCTTTGTAACTACCCGCATCTATTTACTTTTTACATTTACACACGTCGCTTGTAGAGTTAAAATTTTCATAGATAATGTGGAAAACTTTGGCAACTCATCCCACTACTACCTCAGGCTTATATTTATAACCGGCCAAAAAGCGTCTTGAATTCCCTTTATCAGATAGCATAACAGTAGGAAAATATCATCAGCACAGCAGCAAATACTACCCGAGAAAAAACCTACATAATTAAGTACTGAAGGCCATGACACGTGAAGAAATCGAAAGTATACATGTTCATTTTTGTAGCCAGCATAATCTTGCAGTTTCTTGATCTCTCTTTAAAGTTGTAGAATGGAAAAATCTCATACAGTGAGCCCGATATATTAACTCATTACACTCCGTTGGCTTTCACTCAGTCCTCTTATCTCAGTTTTACAACTATTACATGTAAATTGCGACATTATTACGCGTATAATCCACTTTCAAGCCAACCCACCAAGATTCAGAACCTTATCGTTGCAGCTTACAGTTTAAATTGGCCGAGCTTCCACCAGAGTAAGGAAAACCAAATTCAAATCTCTAGCTCAAAAATGAATCATTCACTCTTCATCACTCTCAGAGCTCGAATTTCCTTTCTCATGAACAACACCATTCACAACCTTCCCCTTCCCCTTCTCATCTTTCTCATCCTCATCATCATCACTATACTCACTCTCATAATCATCATATTCCTCTTCTTCCTCATCTTCTTCCTCCTCGATACCTTCCTCAGCCACAGGTCCTTCTTCAGCCACATGACCCCTAGTCCCACCCCGACTCCTTTTCAAAACCTTCAGTTTTATATTTGTTTTCTTATCACAACCTATCCAAGCATCACACAAGCAGAATGAACTCAGATTGTAACTCCCCTCAGCAGGAGCCTGAAACTTTCCCATGACCAATCTTGACCCACTTCTCACCTTCTCAACTGCCTCTCTCACCGCAACACTTATCTCCTTCAAGCTCGCACCTAAGCTCTCTTTTGTTTCTTGAATTGCCTTGGAAGCGGCAGTAACAGCAGCAGCCTCATCCATGAAACTAACCTTTTGAGACATCCACACTTCATTAGAGACCGGGTCGGCAAGTAACAACCAAAAGTTTTCTTCCTTGTGGAATGGATAGTATGGGCAATGAGGAAGGGCACCAATGAGCCCATTTTTACGCTTAAGGGTAACCCAAGCATACATAGTTACGACGTCACCCTCTTGTATGCCCTCTTCGCCTTCGGTTTCACAGGTGATATCAACAGTGATGGAAGGGATCATATCAAGAACAACTTCGATATCATGGGCTTGGGATAGAGAGAGGCCTGCAACCTGAGTCAGCAGCTCAGCACGGTCTTCTACTGTCATGTCTTGTAGTTCTTGCAATGTCCGCACTCTCTGTAAAATAAATCCCAAATCGCAAAATCAAAGAATTGATATAAAGAAGGAAAACTGAAACATGCAGAATATATGTTGGTAAAAGTAGGATTGACATCAAGATAGCCCATTAGTCGTCTAACAGCAAATGAGAAATAAAATAGCAACACGCAGAAGGTAGATTCAAAAATCAAAGTAGAGGAGAAAACAAAGGTCTCATCAATTATTTTTTATATGAACAGTTTTGTCAGCATCATCTGAGATAAGAAGTTTCCCCGGCTCTCCTTCAGAATTGCAAACAGAGTTCTTACAAACTTTAATTTTCTTTTCTGATGGACTAAAATTTTTAATTTTCAACAGAAAATATGTTTCTCAATATATGTATAACTAATATTTAGGTTGCATATCTTGTCAAAGTGTATGTGAAGTAGATGTTGAAAATTGCATTCATGGTCTAACCACCAGCAACCTCATAGGCTCAGTTCTAAGGAGACAAAAAAAACTTAGTTTCCCGGAGCAGGCACATCAATTATGCATATCAACTATTTCCATTTCATTTGACTAGGAAAAAGATAACTTTCAGATGAACAAGCATTGTAGATTTTAGAGACCTATTACATTCAGAAGCAAGCAGGAAGCATGGGCTTCTAATAATAAGATATGAATAGGAACAGCTTGTTATTCATGATCAAAATTGTGTGAAATAATTATACTAAGACAATTTGATAAGATCAACCATGCAGAGATTATAGTGAAGAAAGTGCATGATATATCCTGCTAAGTGGTAACTGTTAGAAGAAGAGGAAACAAGTATGATAGACTACCTTTCTTCCAATTTTCTTGACAATTGTCTCACTGACATGTGGAAGCTGCAAAAAAGGTGCTATGCCTTCTGAATTTCCTCCAGTTACTTTTCTTGCACTGAGAGGGACAGCCTGCTCGTTTGATACCAAGATTCAATAAAGGTTAAAACCCTGAAGCATACTAACCTAGAATTTAAATAATCGAAACAAGCTAATTAAACAGAAACACAAACATGAGAGGAAGAATTACATAAATTAAGAAGGTCAAGTGATTCAGATCTTTTTAGATTCAAGGCAGGAAAATAGTCCAGAAGAATTTGAATGATATGAATGATTCCAAAAATAGCTCAGAAATGTCTATTTTGAATCTCTTCGTCAAGTTATTTTTAGTATATTTGATTTTTTTTCCTAAACATCTTCTTTCAATAAAAGGACGTCAAAAGCTTATATCATGCATTTTTAAACATTTTTATAATACAAGATTCATCAATTTGATCTATTGACTGAGCGAAAGAAGTTTAGATTCTACGTTCCGTTCTATGTTTTTTTTCGTAGATAAGGAAGCTCCAATCAGTTTAATGGCCATAGGGCATAATGAAAAAGAGAATATGTTCATTGAAGGAGAGACCTTATTTGGGTGTTAGTGAAAAAAAAAAGCAGAGAAAATAAACTAAAAACTTCATAAGCTATTAATGTAATGAAGATAATGGGAAGATGCTAAAAACACTCAACAGTAAAGCAATTACTAATAAAGTGGTATTCTCTATATTTACTGTAGTATATGAGAGAACTAAGTTATATTCTTTTATTATGTGATAAACACATGCCATATGACTACTCAAAAAACTATGCAAGTAAATTCTCTAATGAAGCGCATATTAGATAGTCACAAAATTGAGATATACACACACGCACGCGCAAACACACCCCNCCCCCAACCCCCCCCCCCCCAATGCACGCACGCGCACGGACGCATCTGCACATGCCCCATACATACACAGACACACACCCATGCACGCACACGCACGAACGCACAAGGCACACACCTCCCATACATGCACACACACCCATGCCCACATGCACGTGCACACACACACACACGAGCGAATGTACTTATTGGAGGTGTTTTGTATTCAATTAACAACTTTGTTAATTAATATCTTCATGTTCAAATCATAAGACAATCTGTCGCTTTTTTTTTATTATGATCATTTGTTATTACGAAATTGACAATTTGTAATATAATTTGATGTCATTTGCTTGTATGGTTTAAAGGGAAAAAACAACTAAAAAGGGTTCATCCCTCCTTCATCTCCCTGAATGAAGAAAATTGTTAACCATCACCATCATTATTATTAGTTAAACCCACAAACCACCCCCTCTCTCCACGTGGCGACTCGTTATTATCTTTTCACTTTCCCGCGCAATCACAACCAACCAACACCAAACACCATTAAACTTTCAACACAGAGGATCCCAAATAATACTTTCAGTATTTGATGTAAATGCATTATTTGGGCATATGTCTTCGAAGTAATAATAGTAACAGAACGTAGTTATTCAGTGATCACCTGGATGATACATTGAGAAAGCTCAACTACACCAATTGCTGGCCTTAGCCAGCCATGTCCTTGAGAGCTACGTGGTATTACTGCCATCTGCATATAAAGGACAAATTCATTAGGCCACTGTTTATGAGAATTTGATGTGTAAAGGATATAAATGTCGATAGCAAAGATCAAAATCTGAACTGAATAACGCAAGGCAGAAAGCAGGGATGGAAGGAAACAGGGGGCATAATGAAAACATCAATATCTTTTAAACATTACATTACAAGCATTTAGTGACTTCGCTTAATTGATGATGATGATGATGATAATAATAATAATAATAATAATAATAATAAAAATAAAGTCATTAGCAAAATTCGATGTAACATTAATTACAAATTCATGATGGTGACTTCGCTTAATTGATGATAATAATAATAATAAAGTCATTAGCAAAACTCGATGTAACCTTAACTATAAATTCATGAATGGACATATTCCCAAACAAAAATATCGGAAAACAATGCTCGTCTGAGACATAAACCATATCAAACTTCAAAAGCGCATGAAGACATCCCAAACTGGTAACACTATGGTTTCTTTGGAGAATCTGCATGATGCAAGATTATTAATAGGCATCTGGTTTTTTTTTCTGAAAACAATGTAAACAAAGAAATTTGCATCATACCTTAAGTCACGACCTATTATATCGTATTACTATGCTAGCCACATGGGTAACAGAAGATATATCGCACACCTAAGTTTGGGGTCTGGTTCATAGTATTCTGGAACCATCTCCAACTCCAACCAAAAGGAATTCTAAAGGTAAAGCGATAAAAATCTTTAGTTAAGTGTCTTGTCTTGCTACTTAAATTCCCAATCCAATCAGAAAAAATATAAAATGTAGATGTGCAATGAACTGCAAAGGTGTCTATCTATTATAGTATCTGAACCACTTAAGTGGATAAGAATCCGGTTCCTTATATGTTGTGGATTCTTATTCAAATTATGCAAAGATGTTCATAACTTCAAATAAATCAATCAAGCAATCAATGGGGCTTGATAAGAAATTAAATTGCTGTCACTACTCTGAAGTCATATTCCAACCTTTAGTATGTTTACTTTGCATAACTCCACCCATAATTACAATCAACATTTATCACAATAACTTGGTTCATCTGTAATTCTCAATAATTCCTTTCTCCCAAAAACCAACTGCCAAGTTCAAACTCAACATCAACATAACCTGCAACGTTCCTAGTACAAACTCTTTAGGGAAGTAAACACTTGATTTTTCATACTCTCTCTGTTGTCTGTTCTACAAGAGAATTGTCAGAACATGGCTCCTGCTTTTCAAGCTATCTCTAGCAAGGGTTTTGAGCGTTGAAAAAGACTAGTGGATTCAAATTAATAAAAATTACACATGTACACGCCAGAATCATATAAATCACCTTCAACAATTCTTCAAGAAGACGAGGTGCAAGTTCTAGCATTTCCTTAAAATCACTCTGAAGCGATGGAGAGAGCAAAGCTGATTCCCGGGTTAATTGGGCTTGAATCAACAACTCCATCTGAAATTAACAGAGAGATAGAAAAAGAAAACTGTCAAGGATTAAAAAAAAAGACATTTATAGCACATAAATAGTCAAAGCAGATTATGAGATCCTTCTATTTTGTTTGTTATTAATGACTCCCAATGATGGTACAGACTGCCAGGTACATAAGAGCATAATAGTGAGAAATAGTGCACTGGCAGTTAATACAAGTTTGTGAGGTAACCATGCGGTCAGAAGGGACCACATCATATATTGCTAAATATTTACATAAAAAACTCTACCTACCTTAACTAAAGATGGATGTTGCTTCCAAAACTTTGCTTGCTCTGTCTTGATGTTCTTAAGGTCCAGATTCAGTTCACTTCTAACTGCCACAAACAGTTTCTGGAGGGGTTCATCATCACTTCTACGTACTGGCATTTCCATGTACTCTGCAGCCTTGATGAAGACGTCCATAACCTTGCTGTATATAATATTAAGTAAGCTAGGAGCGGAGAAATGTTCAAGAATATACAAAAATAAAAGTGAAAAAAGTTAAAAGAGTTCTGCAATGCCACTTAGAACTGTGAGAATAAACAAACTTACTAAAGATATTTGTTCAGATTGTCTTACATACATAACCATATGATGTTGACAAACCTATAGACATGTAGTTTAGGGGATTCCTGGTCAAAAGATAATTGGTTATGAAACTATATCAGCGTATCGATACTGGGTTTTGATGAGAAAATATTCATCATCATCAAAGCTTTTTCCCACGCAGACGGATATGGATCATTAAGAGGCTCCAAGTCAAAGTTTTACAACAGCTATCAACCTGACATCGGCTCTTTTTTAATAGCACAAGTTCTTTGTCCAGGAAATTATTCAGAAGAAAGAAACTATACATCTGCATAACAAAATGGATTTACTAAGGAAGTATACCTGTGCGTGTATGTGCATGTGCATGCGTGTGTGCATGTGCGCGTGCGTGTAGTGTGTGCAGGTGAGCGGGTGTATGTGCACTGGCATGCATGCGTGTGTGTCCATGTTTATGCATAAACATATAATGAAGTTCACAATCAAGAGTATCAAGGAGCCTAAAAGAGTCATGAGGGCATACAGTTCAAAAAGCCACTAGTTCTGGTGTATAACTCCTTCCTTCGACAAATACATGTCAACACATTCTATATTTGCGGCTTAAGGGACTTAAATGTACAGTTTCAACATTAAACTTTAAACGAAAAAAAAGGTAACAAGCTCCAACTAAAGTTATACTCTAGATCGAACATCCAAAAAGAAAAAAAAGAATAAATATTGAAAGAAAACATTATTAAAGACTCACCTTGGAGCTAAAGAAGGCTTCATGAAGTAATAGTATGTGGACAAAGTTTGATGCATAACGTAATTTCCAGTATATTTTGATGACCTAGAGAGATATATGACTGCTATCATCAGTGGCAAAAGTATGCAAACTCCAACAATTCCGAGTAAAAGTACTCCACCAGATGCTCCATCAAAATTGAGTAAAAACTGGGGTAGAGCAATCCCCATTTGCAGTCCCTGAAATACAGAAGAAGATCAAAGCATAGTAACTTATTCGACTATAAAGAACCAAAAAAATTAAACTAAACATCCAGCATTTCATTGTAACAATCTGTGTGCAAGATTTCCATACCTGACGTCCATCTGGATGCCCATATTTTTCAAAATTTTCACGAGATATAGGATCAGTGAGGGCCTGATATGCCTTGGATATAAACTCTATAAAATACTTGTGTGCCTCTGAAATAACAACATACAGCTTTAAGTTAAAATAGGGATGAGTGTGCTATATTAGCTCCAATTACGATATTAAGAAATACGCAAAGACAAACAACCTGGATCAGGGTTTTTATCCGGATGGTAGAGAATGGAGAGTCTACGATATGCCTTCTTTATTTCAGAGTCTGAAACACCTGGCTCGAGTCCAAGAATACTGAACGGCTCAAATGGCTGGCTCTGAAAAGGAAAGAAAGAAAAATATCAAATAGGATATTCAAACATAGCCACAAGAATTTGCCACTATAGCTTGGTTACAGTACTGGTAGATAATTAAGTTAATTATCCAATCAACCCTTATGTTATCAGGGACTAGTTACCTATTCCCAACTGATATCACATGATATTAGCTTCCTCATACTAGATGTATTATAAGGGGAAAAACAGGGATATACATGTACATTAAACTTACAAAGTTAAACAGAGTTGAATACAAAATTTGAAACTTGGGCTATTTTTTATGCTTAAAATGCCATTGAGAACAATTGTCAGAGCTCCCTAGCAACATGGCAGAATGAATTCTCACCTCCAATCCTGACTCGAATTTTCTTGAAAAGTCTATTATCACTTGATTGAGACCGACCAATATGAAATATCACTGCAGAAATGTACAATCTGACAACACCAGCTAATCGCCAGCCACCATTACCATCAGAGCCTCTAGATAACCTTACCTCCAGAACCTACAGTTTAAAAGGTTGATACCTTTTATGACCTAGAATGTGCTTAGTCATATTGTTTGCCTATGAACCACAGGTCTTTTCTATCAACAGTTTATAACAGTTTAAAACTGAGTCAAGCTCCTTAAACATAAGATCCACTTCATCCATGTATCTGAAGCTACAGGCTAGTTTCTATGGAAAACGCCCGCAAGGAAACTATTCTACAATAATCCTTAGATACCTTCACTAGAATGCACGGACACAAATAGACATCTGAAATGGGATAGGAAATGCGAAAGAATCATTGCTTCCTGCCATAACATTTTCATGGAGTTTATATAGAATTTGGATCCGCTCCACTACAAAAAAATAGTGGAGAGACCACCACTTTTAATCTCAAACGTTGATTACTTAGTAGGTGGTTATGATACAATCTAAATCTAACACTCACCATAGCCCCGTGTATTGCACTCATTCCTAATTTGCACTCAAAGAAAAACTCACAACCACCAACTAGATAATTAATGGTTGTGATTATGTAGTGGTCCCTCCACTACTTTTTAGATAATGGAGATGATCCGAATCCGTTTATATATCACATCTAGTGAACGATCATGCAATCATTGCCTATGTGTCATAACATTTCATGGAGTTATCTAGCAAAATCTTGTCATGCAGGAGCTGCATTACTATTGCAGCTTCAATCACTACTCAAACTCTTAACTCAGTCATCAAATTTCATACATCGTGCCATGCAAATAAAATATGCTGTTTGCTTTGCTTTAGACTCTTGGGCATAAGTAAATGATGGTCAAGTGGACAACCCTATGCTCTAGAAAAATAGCCACTATGTGAGCAGCATGGGAGTGAAAACAGTATTTTAATAAAGAGGGACAGAGCTCAGGCCTTTATCTAAATGTCTAAAAATGATGGCACAGAAGGGTAGAGGAATCCACTATCTGAGCCATATTGCAGTCCAAATATTTTCAAGACATGGAATACAAAAGAACAAACAAGAAGTCAGGAAGAGGCGTGTTATCCTTTCTTCGTCCTTAGATGCTGATATAACTCTAGCCAGAACCGGTGAGGCAAGTAAGAAAAGCTAAAGCTAAAACAAAGACAAGGTACTCATAAGTATAACCAGGAAGCAAGTCACACATGACAGGTGTAGATATAATCACACATGGAAAAAAAAAAGACAATGAAAGTCAGCTGATACAATTATGTAAAGATAACTAGTCAGACAAAATAAGGTTTATACATGAAGGTCATGAACCAAAACATGAGAAAGAATTCAGGAAAAAATCTGATGGCCCTAAAAATATATCACATACCTCATGGCTTATATGTTTGATGTAATAGACCAGAATCCCCATGATGATCCAAAGCAGTACAAGCGTCAGATTGCTACAAGTTGAGAAGTTTGATATCTGCAGGCAAAATTCAACAGGTACAGAAAGAAGTACTTTAAGAAAGAACATGTGAGGTACAAGTAATGTGCCATGTATCAAATAAGAACATAAAACAACAGGGGAACCCTGCCGGCAAGACTGAGATTTACCCGCTTCAAAATGGATTTCTTGTACTTCCCTGAACTTGAACATGAAGCACACTCACAGTGAATACTCTTCGTTTTTCTAGAAAAAGCACGGCATAGCCTGACAATTGTGTAAGGCACTAGAGGAAGAGCCATTATAGTCAAGACGAATATTAGAAATAGAGAACTGTTCTCTTCTACGTCGGCCATAACTGCCTTCTATTTATGGCAAGATAACGAACTAGTATAATCTGCAAAATTAATTGGGATAAGATTTCTGCAAATGAGATATGCCATTAAAAGAAGAAGAAGAAGAAAGTATCCATCTACTATTGAACAAATATGCACCTTTGTTTGTTTACTTTAAAAACAATATCAAAATCACTAAAAATATTAATGAAGTTGAGCCAAATGTTCAATTTAGCATCATATCTAATGTGCGTGTTAAATTAACCCTACTTTTACAGTGAATCTTGCAAGCGATTATAACTATTCAAATAAATCTAGCCCTAATTTTGCAAACCGGACATAAACCCTAAATGAAGCAAAATTAACTTGATTTTCTAAGGTATTCAATCAATTCATCGTCCTCAGGTATTCAATTAATTCATCATGAAATCGTATTCAACTAATAAAAACAAGGAAAGATTAAAATATAAAATCTGAATTAGGGGGGAAAACTAACTCTTTTCTTCGCTTTAAATCCCCAAATTCGAGCAGCGCAGATACAGAATGAAGATCTTGAGCTGAGGGTCGAGGACTCGACTGTCGCTAGATCTGGGGGAATGGAACTCAAAAGTCTCGTAACCCCCTCAACTCGGCGCAAGTTTTCTAGGAGGACCCTAACTTAAAGCTTCACACGAAGCTCTTAATCTATAATTTCAGTCCATTAGCCCCTAAACTTTTTAATTACATTCTAGGCGGCTTATTTTTCTGTCAAATTAACTTTTAAGTTAGTTTTTTAATTGGACAAATTTTCAAAACCAACCCTTTTCATGATTTAATTGCAAAAAACGACCCGTTTCTGTTTTATTTAGAGAAACCGACCTGGTTTCAGCATTGTCGCTGAAACCAGGTCGGTTTTTGAAAAAAACTTTACGAAACTTCACGGGAGTTGAACTCCCGTGAAGTTTGGGAAAAAAATTTTCAAAAACCGACCCAGTTTCAACCAACTGGGTCGGTTTTTATAAATAAAACAGAAACGGTTCGTTTTTTGCAATTAAATCATGAAATGGGTCGGTTTTAAAAATTTGTCCTTTTTTAATTTCTACTTATTTGGTAAAATATCAAATACATTAGTTTATATATCAAATTTAAAAAAGTGATATACTTTTGAAAAACTAATTTATAAGTTCACCTAAATAATGTAGGTTTAATCAAACAAATTACTTACCGTACAAATAATTTTTATACTTTTTTTAATAAAAGCCAAAAGGCACTAAAAACTAGCATAATTTATAAGCTTCAAAAAAATAAGTCTTCCAGACTTATAGCCTCTTCATTCTGTTTAGCTTCTATGATGGTTTTGCACAACTACAGAAAAGGGTATATAAATAGTAGTAGCAATTTATTGTCTCACTCGCTGATCTAACCTAATTTGAGCTGTTAAAAATGTGTATGGAACACTTTTTCTCAAAACAAAACTTCACGGGAGTTGAACTCCCGTGAAGTTTGGGAAAAAAATTTTCAAAAACCGACCCAGTTTCAACCAACTGGGTCGGTTTTTATAAATAAAACAGAAACGGTTCGTTTTTTGCAATTAAATCATGAAATGGGTCGGTTTTAAAAATTTGTCCTTTTTTAATTTCTACTTATTTGGTAAAATATCAAATACATTAGTTTATATATCAAATTTAAAAAAGTGATATACTTTTGAAAAACTAATTTATAAGTTCACCTAAATAATGTAGGTTTAATCAAACAAATTACTTACCGTACAAATAATTTTTATACTTTTTTTAATAAAAGCCAAAAGGCACTAAAAACTAGCATAATTTATAAGCTTCAAAAAAATAAGTCTTCCAGACTTATAGCCTCTTCATTCTGTTTAGCTTCTATGATGGTTTTGCACAACTACAGAAAAGGGTATATAAATAGTAGTAGCAATTTATTGTCTCACTCGCTGATCTAACCTAATTTGAGCTGTTAAAAATGTGTATGGAACACTTTATATGGGTCGGGTTATAAATAAATCGATCTAAAGATTAACCGGATCATAAACCAGTCAACCTGCATCCCAAATATAAAAATCTGATCGAAAGCTAAGTTACTAAAATCTAAACTATTAGAACAAGAAAATACAATGTGAATAAAAAGGGCAAAATGGCCAAATTGGCATATTTTGTAGAGGCTTGGCGACATGTTGGTATATTTTCTTTTAGTTTTGTCAGATTGGTATATTTTGTAGACTCTGCCGTCATATAGCCATTAAATTTGGCCGGAGTTACTGTTCCAGCCAGTGTTGATGGGATTTTTTGCATAAAACCCCTCATCAAAAATCCATCCTGCTCCTACCCCCCCCCCTCTCCTTCCTCCTCCTCATCCTCTTCAACCTCCCCCTCTCCCTCCTCCTCCTCCTCTTCCTCCTCCTCTTCATCCTCTTCAAGCACCATCACAAGCATCATCTTCATGCTTTTCCCTCAGCAGCTTCAACATATTTCCATTCATCTCAACAAGAAGAATAAGTCGTAAAGTGTGTAGTTGCAACAACACTCATTCACATGATTTGTAAACTAAAATATACTAAATACTCATCAATAACACCACAAAAGCTAACCTTCACCCCAAGTAACCAAATTTAATCTTAAAAAACACCAAATGCTTGTCCATTAAAGAGAAATTACTGCGTAATGACCAAAAATCAGACAAAGAGAAGGAGAATCAAGTAACAAACCACCAAATTGGACTCATCATCATTATCCAAGCTATCCTCGGTAACTGCATCGCGATCCACATCACTGATCCCCTCAATCTCCTCATTTCGTCTATCGACAGTGTTGAGATCATGCAGCGAGCTCTCGATGAACGAATTTGACGAGGAGGAGGGAGAGGGGGGGTTGAAGAGGATGAGGAGGAGGGAGGGGAGGGGGGTTAGGAGCAGGATGGTTTTTTGATGAGGGGTTTTATGCAAAAAATCTCATCAACACTGGCCGGAACAGTAACTCCGGCCAAATTTAAGGGTTGTATGGCACCAGAGTCTACAAAATATACTAATCTGACAAAACTAAAAGAAAATATACCAACATGTCACCAAGCCTCTACAAAATATACCAATCTGGCCATTTTGCCGAATAAAAAGTAAAGCTTAAGATAATCTAACTGCATCTTACATCTAATCAGTGAAGCCTTGTAATTTAGAGCTTTGACTATCTCGAATGAATTACTCATTGCATAATGTAAACACCTAAAATAAGAAAACAGATGAGGCGTTATTATATTGCAGCAGAAGCAGAAAAACCCTGAAATAAAAAGAGTGTAGTGGTATACACAACATTGAGGCATTTCAACGAACAGGTAATATGCATGTTAGAACTAGGTCATAATCAACTACTTTAGGATCAGTTTGGCAACTGAGAAACTGTCTTATTTAGTTCTAGGCCAATTATACTCAAGTCTATATTAGACCAAACCAGTTTCTATGTAAGTTAATTTTAAGTTAAAACTAAAACTAGTTTTTGTTAAATTTTAAACAAAACTAGTCTAGGATGTTGAGAAGAAAGAAGAAGGAGAAAGGAACAGTAATATGAAAAGTGGGTGACGTCTTTCTTGAAATTACCCTAGAGAGGGGGTGAATAGGGTATTTGCTAATCTAATCCGATATTAATGCCAAATTAAAATATATTAACAATCTATCCAAACAAGTATGATATTCAACAAGTTATGAGTAAGGATATGTAATTAAATGTTGTGTGCGTCGGAACAAACACAAACGCCGTGAGAGAAAGAGCAAACAATCCAAATATAACGACACTAACTCAAACACAAAAGTTTAACGTAGTTTCGGCAAATTGCCTACGTTCACGGGGCAAGAGGGGATGTGTTTTCACTATAGAGAAAAAGAGTATAAAGTAGAGATTACAAGATCACTCAACTAACATCTCAAAAAATCTCTCAAAATTAAACCCTCAAACAATTACTCAGAAAGATCTCTCTTTTCCGTACTCAAAATCACTTTCAAGCTACCCAATCAATCAATATAAAACCCTAAAAACGTGGTTATTATTTATATCAAATAACAAACCCAATCAGAACAGGAAACCAAGCCCAGGCCTAAAACCGCATCGCGGTCGACTGTCGCGACAGTCGTGGTCGACCGTGAAAACGACAGAAACCAAAATTGCACTACAGGGTCTCGCGGTCAACCGTTGCACCACTCGTGGTCGACCACAAAAAGTCTAAAGACTTTTTCAGGTTGCGTGCCCGTTCGCAGTCGACCATAGCTCCACTCGTAGTCGACCGTGCATCATCCAAAATGTATTCTGCTTCAATTTTCCTGAGCTTCGTCGCCTTCGCCTCCAATTCTACATTAAACAAAGGCGAAATAAACATAAACACAAGATGCAAATAAGGTAGTGTACAAATGATAATCGTAGACACACAATATGATCACGGAGTTCAGTCACTCTCGACCTACGTCTCCGCTCCCCACTCTCGAGGAGAATCTCCACTATCTCAAAGGATGACTACACAATCGGTTTTTTCAACGCTCACCGATAAACGTTTACAACTCACACACTTGTAATCACATAATACACCCTCTAAGTGTTGGCCTCTCACGTGTCACCTTCCTCAAGTGTTCAGATTTACCACAACTCCCTAGGTTTTACAATCGACGCCACTCCTCTTGGAATCGACCCCGTCTCTCACCAACCACTTCTCTCGGTATCCTTGTGTATTATAATGTGATCTCAACAAATAGTCTCACAAATACAAATAATTTATTCTCTAACAAGATGAGAACTCAATTAAGCTCACTCTCAATGAATCACTCACCACAATCCAATGTATATAATGTATGAAATGCTAAAAGCTCAATAGGTGGTGTGTGTGATCAATGAGCAATAATAAAACTAAACTCAATATAAAATCTAGCTTATTAAAGTCTTAATCAACAACAAATATATATAAAGCTAGAAATCAAGTTTAGTAAAACTTCTCTAAAAACAAGAGTGGGAGAGAATGAGATTGAAGCCCAAACACCAAAGAAATGATCTCCTCCTCTTGTGAAAACTTCTTCACATAAACAAAACTTAAAAACAGTTGAAAACACTTAAACAAACTTGCCCAAAACTTAATTTTTATTTTTATTAGATAGTTCATAAGTTTGAAGGCAATGAGTATATATAGGATCACAAAACAAAGCCCAAAAATCAAGAAAATCCAAGCAAAAAGATAAAAAAAACCCGAAAAATCAGGAAGCTGGAAAACTAGTTGTTACAGTGTTATCTATAGACTGATGAACAGTATCAATCAACTGATGAGCTAATCGTTACAGGCATCTCAACCTTCATTGGTCGACTGACGACTGATGAACTAACCAGTCGACTGATGACCTGCTTCGATCGACTGATGGTTCATCAGTCAACTGAGCAGAAACTTTCTACTTTTCCAGCCGTTTTCTTCGATCGACTGATGATCATTATTAGTCGACTGATAATGTGCACATTGTTAGAAATGAACAGTAAAAATTTGATTTCAAACCCCTTTTAAAAATATCAAACAAATTTTAAAAAATATAAAATTTGGGAAAATGTTTATAAACATGTTACAAAAGAAAATTTTAAAATATCATTTCCCGTTTGTGAAAACTCTTTATTTTGCAAAATCTTAT